ACATCGAAGTTGATGCAGTTGGATTAGTTGATTGTCTCCAGTCGTGCCAACACCGAACTGCTTCAGTCAATCTGCAACGCCAGTGATAGTATGAGCGAAGCGTGCCTGTGATTGCTGCTGGGTGTACCGGATTGTTGGCAGGCTGTACATGGTAGCAACGTCGTACTCGGAGTAAGTCTCATGCTCAGCTTGGTCTGGCACTTGCATAATTTCACCACATGATACTCTAGTACTACTAGTAGTAGGTGTGTTTCGTAGTTTGTTTCGTAAATACCCAGATAAAGGGAAATACTAATATCGACGAAATGAACTGCATATATTAATATAGTCAGACAAATCGCAACTAACAGTAAAACTGAAACGTTTTAACAGAAACCTCTAAAACGTAATAATGACAGCCTTGGAGTAGACATCAGATAGACCCCTCGGTACGGAGACAACCACCATCAGCGGCGACGGCCACATGGGGACTGGAGAGTTGCGCCGAGAGGAAGGATGAGCAACACGTCATGCCGATCCCGCGTTGTGTTCCTTCGATGGGTTTGTGGCTGCCGCGAACGGCAATGGATTCGGAAAACCTGTGAAAACGAATGAAACCGTCCTTTTGTGTTTGCCCGAAGGTGAGTGAGTCCCTTGCTCTCGTCTGCTAGATGAGTAAAGGTAAGCGACGACGGCATGCATTCGTTCCTCCGTCCTTGGAACGTCATACAGTCGTGTATGCTGTAGGACAAGGCTCGACGGATGACGGGACACCGCCGCCGCGCATGAGCTCAACGTCGCCTGGCCTGTGGGCATCGGTGAAGATGGCGTATCAAGGACTTGTGCACACCGTGATCCGACCGCCTCGATCGCATTACGCTCTGGACGACTTAGGTCCATCGACTTGCATCTTCGCACACAATCTGCTTGTGGGACGAGAAGATTTCACCCTTCGGAACGACAAAGGGCTCGCAGTCGAGTGCAGTTGGTGGAAACCTCAACACCACCATCGCCATGCCACCACCGAGACGCGCATGCCGTGCATCGTTGTGCTGCATGGGAACAGCTCGTCGCGCTTGGGATGCATGGAGACGCTGTTTCACAGCCTCGCCGCGGGGTTTACAGTGTGCGCGATTGACTTTAGCGGCTCCGGGTTGTCCGAGGTACTTTCCACTCCTCCGTCCAGGTCCTCGTCTTCCTATCGACATGTGCATAGGGAAAGTACGTGTCGTTGGGTTTCCACGAAAAGAAAGATATCTCCCTCGTCCTCACGCATCTTCAGTCGACGGGAGAAGTGTCCAAGTAGGGTCGTTCCCTCTCGACCCTCCATGCCTTAACGTTGTACGTAGCATCATCCTGTGGGGTCGAAGCATGGGAGCCGTCGCATCCATCTTGTGCGCGGCCGAAGAAGCCGACGACGTGGCTGGCGGCGCGTGCATCACGGCCATGGTGCTCGACAGTCCGTTCTCGAGTCTCAAGCAGCTCGCGATGGATCTCGTGGACGACGGCAAGCTCAACGTACCCAAGGTACGTACTAGTACTATACAGTCCATGCTTGATATTTTCCATTCGAATTTCCAATAAATATTCACTTGAACTCACTATGTCCGTCTTGATATATATATACTCCCGTTCTATATTTCAAATACACTTGATTGCACTATATCCGTCTTGATATATACATTTGTATTCCTAGTTTGCAGTATCCATCGTGATGCGGTTTCTCCGACGTGACATCCAGCGCCGCGCAAAGTTCGACATGTTTCAACTCACACCCAAAGCCGTAATTCACAAGTCCGTTCCGAAATACTCTGTTGTACTACCCTACATATCCGTGCTCATATTTTTCTCGATCTTCCTATTTAGATGCGCCGTGCCCGCGTTCTTTGCGATTGGCAGCCAAGACGAGTTGGTGTCGCCGTCCCACGTCCAACTCCTCCACGATCGGCACCGCGGACCCAAGGAGCTGCTCATGTTCCCCGGAGGACACAACTCGGTCCGGCCGACCGAGTTTTTCGCGCGCGCCGTCAACTTCTGCCGCGTCATGTGTGGTCTGCTCCCCATGTCCGAAACTGCTGCCGGGGGCGGCGGCGGGCTCTCCCCCGTCCACGTCCGCCACCCCCTCGCGACGGACCTGTCGGTGGAACAGGTGCGCGCGATGTCTATCAAGGAGCTCAAGGCGGTGCTCCACCGCGCGGACATCGACGTCGCGACCGTCGTGGAGAAGGCCGAGCTGGTGACGCTGGTGCTCAAGATGCACGCGCGCCACGTCCGCATGCGTGTGAACAGCGACGTCGAGAGTCGAAGGAGGACGACCAGTCCGATGCAGCGGCGGCACTCGACGGGCACGGACGACCCGGCCACGTGTCCAGAGGACATCATCGTGGGGGGCGTGCAGGTGACGGCGACGGCGGCACCCCCCACGTCGTGACGGTCGCCGTCGTCGTCTTAGTGCTAGTCGTACCATAGAATACCATCCCACCACCCTATTCAAAACGAGTCAAATCACGTGGGGGATGCTGCTGCAGCCAACGACGTGTACAACATCACCAGTAGTAAGTAGTACTAGTAGTAGTACTAGTAGTAGTGTCTGGATTTCGGTCGTCCGCAGCTCCCGGTAGTGTATATATGTATCGTCCATTTCTGTCATGTTGGACCTAGGAATTGCATCGATGGTGGTAAACCCACGCAGTAGCCTTGCATTATATAACTCGATTGCGTACTACTAGTATACTACTACGATATCGGTAGTTACTGTGCGTATCATTATATATATATATATATATATAATATAGATTAATACTACAGAGTTTCCGGACGCGCACTTTTGCGATACGATTCAGGTTCTGGGTGCACAACACATGTGTCAAAAGTAGAAAACAAAAGTCTAAACATGGTGTTTTAACTATTCATACTATATATAGTATACTTGTATTAATAGTTGGAATAGAGAGTTTGTTTTCGAGTTTGTTTTCGAGTAAATACTATTACGTGGTAGTACTATAGTAGATAGAATAAAGGAATACTATTAATAGTTTTCACTAACATTAGTTCAAAATACTTGTCCTGTTTGTATATATATATTATATATATAAAAATGAATATATTTCACGTCCGACGTCGTTTGACCGCCGCGACCATTGTGGGTTTTCTGGAAGACGCCTCCAAGTTGCCGAATTGACTGAACGAACTACTTGAAGTCGACACGCGCAGCTGCTGCTTGCGATTGATTTGGACGGATGACATCTTGCCACGTGGCGGGGCGTGGGACCGCTTGGTGAGGTTATGGAAGAGGACACTTTTGGAGGCAATCACGTCGCTGGGATGGATATCTGCCAGCGGAATGGACAGATGGCGCGCCGCCGCGTCGTCCGCCTTGCGCTTGATCTCGCGCTTTTCGCCGCGGAAGGTCTTGCGTAGCGATGCGTTGGTCTTGTACGGGTCCGAGAACAGCGTGTCCTGGCGGTCGATGAGGTCCATGAGGCCAGAGGACCGCTTCTTCGCCACGCGCTTGTCCGCTTCGTCATGCTCGAGCTTGAAAAACGGATCTGCCGCCAACGCAATGCCGACTTCCGGCGCATTCAATCGCTCCAACGTGTCGTCGTCGTGGGTGCCCCACTCCACGTCATCCATCTGCGTCTTCTTCTTGATGCCGTCGAGAAGTTTGTACCCCCGCGCCTCTGGGTCCGTCTGCACGATCATGATGCCTTTGCATGTCGCACATGTCAACGCGAACTCGTACAAGATCGTCGAATGGTACATGCCCACTTTCGTTTTCTTTGCATTGTAGCGCACCCCTCGACCTAGAGGATACCATTGTAGGTGAGGACTGTCGTCGAGGATATGCAAGCCGTACCAATATGCGTGTTGCAGTGAGTACACCACACATCAAACGGCATTTCAAACCGAACGACGAGGATCCCATCTTTGATGTCCTTGGCCCGCTTTCCCAAGGGGTGGGACTTCTGGAACTTGTTGATTCCGCCCATCTCCGGTCGCCATTCCGGAGGGAAGTAAAAGTTGTCCGCTCGCGCGGCGGCTAAACTGGACATGACGGTGGTGGCGGCGGCGGCCTTGTGTCGCTTTGAAGTCTGGAGCGAATACCAAGGGTATCCGGATAAATGGCACATTATCCGAATTTCATCATAATTCCGGATAGAACGTGTGCCCTGAATTGAGTTTCGAAGTGCAATGTTACACTAATTACATGTATTCTTCCGGATAATGGTCGTGATAGTATCCGACTGTAGATGTAAAACACGGATGTAATTCCGGATAATCGTCCGAATATTTCCTTGCCTGACTTCTTTCGCCCCAATTTGCAACGCCCATCGTCGGTGCAAGATCGTCAGAATCATCATGGCAGCACCCTTGCACAACCACAACCTGGCGGCGGTGGTGAACCTTGTCAACGAGTACGCGTACCTGTTCGGGACGAACAACGGCAGCCCGACGCAGCTTCTGAACCTGTTCACGGAGGACGCGTCGTTGAACGACGACTTTGTTGGGCAGTCGCGCGGCCACAACGAGATCCGTCGGTCGCTTGAAGAACTGTTTGGCCTCGAGTTCCTTGCCGAAGCATCGCACATCCCCCAAGGACACTTTGTCTCGTTCGTGTCGGAGAAGGAGGCGACGGCGACGTCGTACACGGTCATGTTCTGGAAGTCCAACCCCGTGTTGATCGTCAAGTGGACCGACGTCGTGGTGCTCGTCGACGGCACGTGGCGCTTCCAAAGTCGAACGTCCGAAGCCATCCAAAAGAACCTGGAGCACTTGGGCGAAATGCAGCTCAAGGGCAAGAAACAGTACCCCCAGCACACGGAATAATCAACCCAACACATCTCCCCCCCTTCCATCGTACCCAACATCTGATCATATTCCATTAGCTTCGACCGACCTTCCTACTCTCTCTCTTCTCTTGCATCTCCTTCCTCCACTTGCCATCGCGAATGGTGCTTATAGAATTCCCATGCAGCAATACTGGTACTTGTCGTACCACCGCGTACGCCAGTTGTCCAGGGACTGGTCAATCAAGTCATTCACAAACTCCTAAAACACAACCAAATGAATCTCACACGTCCAAATGTCACCTTCTCTCTCTCTCTCTCTCTACATATATATTATATGCAGACCCTTCTTCATCTTTCCATGTACGTACATACGCACATACCTGGCATGCCACCTTGCCCAATCCTGGGTTCAACCGCTGCCGCAAGCCGTCCATCGTGGCCTTCTTGCCGCGGGAGAAGCATGGCAGACGCAGCTCCGCCTGGTCATTCACGAGCATCATCTCGACCAACAGTAGCAACTTGTCCATATTTTTATGCAGCGCCCAGTACGCCTTGACACAGAGCGACCGAAACTCGCGAAAGAGTTTGCTTCGGGGGCCATCCTAATAAATATATGAATATATCCTAATAAATATATGAATATATATATATATTGTCGATTTGATAGTACAAATTTGGCGACCACACCGATCCACAATCGATCTGATTGGTTGTTGAATTTCGTGGAGAAGGTTTTGATTGGTTAATAATTTTGAGCTCATCTGACGTACCCAATCAAATCGATTTCAATTCCAACGAGAAACCACAACACAATATGAAATTTCACTCGAAAGCACAATATATATATATCCATTGTTTGAAGTATTTTTTGATCTATATATGCGTCAACTAATACTAGTAGTGCATACATACACAAGTTAGTTGTTCTCGTCAAGACAAGTTAGAGTAACTATTTAGTACAAGTACGATGTATGAAAGATTGAAATAGAAGGTTCACATAGGTTATATAGCATCCAACCCACAAAGCAACATATATATATATATATATATATATATATATACCACCATATCCACGATTCTTCGGTTGTAAATATATATATATTAAGTGTAGAAACGCACCATCAGCTCAAGTACAATGTATGGAAGATTGAAATAGAAGATTCACACAGGTTATATAGCATCCAACCCACAAAGCAACATATATATATATATATACTAGTATATATCACCATATCCACGATTCTTCGGTTGTAAATATATATATACTAGTATATACCATCAGCTCGACAAACTCGTCCGTGAGCTTGAACGGTGCCGACTCAAAGCCAATGTTGCCGCCAGGGCTGTTGGTGAAGAGAAAGCCAAAGTCGATGTGGATGATATGGCCGAGGGCGTCCAGAAGGATGTTGCCGTTGTGCCGATCTTTGATCTGAAACACAAAGCACAAGATCGAATACGCCGACAGGCTCTGGATAAAGTTGACGCGCGCGCGCTTGAAGCGCGAACCAGTCGGCGACCCAAAGTACCGTTCGTAAAAGTCGCTAAAACAAAAACATTGAGTATCCAAATGGTCGTACAATGGATCAATTCAGAAACTCAAAGTGTACGACCCTTGTAAGGATATATAAATTGATAGAGGTCGTACAGCAGGGATTTGTAGTCGGGGTCGTTCTTCTTGAGCGAGTCCAACGACACGGTGTCCGGCACGGCTTCGATCAGTCCACTCGTGGCCGACGTCGCCAGCACGGCATATGGTCTAGCCAAAAAAATATATTTACAACACATACATATATATATATATATAAACCACCGAAACTCGTAGGTCGTTGAATTCTAGGAAAAATGTATAATATTGCTATTTATATTTTTTATTCATTCATGGACACCTTATTTATCTGTAAACATCATAAAAAAATAACCCATCAGCAACATATATATACATGTATATACAAGCAGAAAACACAGCTCAAACTAACTTGTGGAGATTCCAATCGATATATATAATATATATAATAAACAATATATCCCATATCCCAAACATATATTGTATATATATATACAGAAACCACCCAGATCATCTTTTGAAATGGATTCCAATTATACACATCGATAAATAAATATATATATATATATATATATCGGTACCGCAATGACAAGGGCAGCTGGGCGTCCACAAAGATGTGATGGCACTGCGCAATGATCTGCGCGGCAAACTGTTCCTGGCGCAAGTCGTCGTGGGATTTGACGATCACGGGCACGACGCGCCAGCCGGGAAGGGTCCCGTACGGCGAGAGGCGGCGCAGACGGTCCTGCTTGTCGGCCCAGCGCTCTCGAAATGCAATCACGGGCGCGGCGGCGGCGGGCGCGGCGTCTGGCTGAAGAAACGACTGATTGTCTGAGAGCGGACTGCCGATCGACCACTCGAGCGGGCTCTGGTCCTCCCCACCGCCGTCCTCGTCTATCGACCGCACGTCGTGGCGCTCATCCACGCTATGGCACACACATATATATTAATATCATGATACAGTACGTTGCTGCTGTACGGAAGAATTAATATACAGCATATGCACGGTTGTACTTGCAACGGAATAATATATATAGTATCGTAAAACGGAATATATAACAGATAGCCTGGATATATATATATATATTTGAGGAAATGGTATGTTCCACTTTTCATTGTGAAAGAAGTAACGTTTGTCATGGGGATTTATTTGATCGTTCAAGCATTTATTACCGAATTACATTGGAATTTTAAACGTATGATGGGAATGTATGTAGAACACAATACAGCATGGGAAAAATAATATATATATATGTATATATATATATACTTATTATGAAGAGCGTCGTCTGGATATATCAATTCAACGATCGTCATAATATATTCAATACAGACAACGATGGATTTGAAGCCACACCGAAGTTTATGTGTGTGTCCATGTATTCTAGCCAATCAGATTCAGCTAATACCAATCAGTTGGTTTGATTTGTCATTGAAATCGAATTTCGAAGTATATAGGCAATCCAAGTTGAAAAGTAAGAATTGACTTCGATTCAAAGTGTGGCTTAAAATCCTTCGTTGTCTGTATATGTATATATATTTATATATATATATATTAACAGTACCGTAGTTTGTCATCGGGCTGTTTTCGTTGAGGTTGTTGCGGTCGTTTCGCCCACTGCCCCATCACTTGCGTCTGTGTCATATACACAAAATAAATATGTTATATATATATATTCTGCCAAAAAACAACACAAAATCTCCAAATACACACAAATATACGTTATATATATATATCCTATCCAAAACACTAAAATATACAAACATACGTTGTATTCGCCTGAAACACATAAAAACCGTCGCCAATAAAATACTCGTGATATATATATATCACCTTGATAGCATTATTATTCTCGTCGTTCTCTTCTCTGGCCTTTCCAGCAGCAGCAGTCTCGTGTTTCACGCCGTCGGTACTTTCTCCATCGTCATGTCTACTTGCAATAGAACCCCCATCATGAACCATATATTTACCAACATATATTAAATACTCATCTAGACCAACACTCGACTAAAACGTACCAACACTCCACAAAAACGTACCAACACTCGACTAAAACGTACCAACACTCGACTAAAACGTACCAACACTCCACAAAAACGTACCAACACTCCACAAAAAC